TAATTATCTTATAAACTGATAATCTTAGAAATATATTTAGTTGAACATAAACATTTGATATTATTGAATATTTTTAAAACTTTTGTGAAAAATCTGCAGTATATTCTTTAATTATTTCAGAACTGCATGTAAGAAATAACTAATTATCTGAACTAATTTAGACATTCTATTATACTTTTAAAACTATCTTTAAAATGTAAAGCAAACATGAAAATGTTCGGTTTCTTGTAATTTTCTTTTTGCCACAGAAGAAGCACATGATATAAGCCACATATGTGACAAATTTTGGCTGGTAAAATAAGCAGCCATCTTATATTCTACTCGGAGCTTCAGAGACTCAGGCTTTCCTTCAAAGACACTTACCACAGTCTAGAAACAATTAAAGATTAAGAAAAAAGAAAAGGAACTCTTTTTCATCCAACTCTGTATTCTGCACCCACACACAGATGCCAGAAAAATCTTCAGTTTCAAAACTGAGAAAGAAGAATTATATTAAGAAAGATACACATATAAAATAACACTACATCAGAAATTATTTGGGAGTGCATCTCACTAGAACTCAGAATTAGAAAGGAACCTATATATCAAGATGGGCAGTCCTTTGCCTGCAAAAGACGAGGAAGTTATGATCTGTATTCCGGCCACACAAGCCGACCCTCATGCCCTTAAGCCCGCAGAACAAGATCATGTCATGACTCCATGCTTTTCACAGTCTACTTTCTCTGCCTAGTATGAATCCCCTTACTTCAATTCTTTTACCCCTTGAAAACTCCCACTTATCCTTGAAAGCACAGGTCAAAAAATACGTGGTGAAGTCCTTCCTGAGACCCTGCATCACGTTAACTTCTCACTGTCTAAGGACATCTATTCTCTAAAACAGGATCACTTTCGTTATGCTCCCTAAGAGTAAGTCAGTTCTAAATTCCAAGTGCTCATCACTGTCCCTGGCATATACTATCTGTTCAATGAATTTTTTTTGAATGAAAGACTTACTTTCTTGATTCCTCCATAACAAATTTACAAGTAGTTCTAGTCACACACATTAAGTGGCAAACAGACATGGTATAGTTCAAAATGAACAGAATTACTATGGTTTAAATCTGGTCCTTAAATAACTACGAACATTAGAAGCCAGTTTTACACTTAGCCTAGCTAAATAACACCGCTTCTCCTCTAAGCTTGGATATGGTGACTGGACTGAGAAGTTTAGAAGAGTTTACTAATACAGATCATCTACAATCCAGGCAAAGAGAAGGTGCCACACTTGAGGATATTCACACACTTTGAGGAGCACTTGATTCACTCACTATTTCAATCAAAAGACAATAATATACACTGAATTATCTGTTTTCACATTGTTTCATGAATCTGTTGTGTTCAAAGGGGTTTTAAAAAAAAAACAACTCATCCACCATTAACTTTGTCATGAGAGAACAAACAGGTGTAAAATATAAATTATCCTTCCCTGTTGTGAATGTGATTCATTCCTATGTAAAGCTACAGTACCACAAATAGTATTATAATAATAAAAAACTAACAATTTTATATGGCAGGCTAATGGATATGATTATATGCAACAGTAAAGTTGAGAACTTAATGTATTCTGTATGTTACTGGGTTCACTTGGTAAAAAGACTAATTCATATGTTAAATAATATAAAAATCTATTATTCCATTAGAGTTGCTTTAAAATATTAATAATGCTTGTTAAGTTGCAAATATAAGCAAAAAGATTTCATAATATTGAAATCCCTATAGTTTCTTAATATAAGTTTTTAGTTTTTCTAATTAACACAAAGTATCATCATAGACAACCCAAGTCAAATAAACTTGTCTGTTATTTTTCTATAAATAGTATATATACATGAGCATATTTTTTCAAAGGAGAAATCTGAACTATGAGTAGAATTTTCCTTAGTATCCCAAATATTAAAGCAAATATATTTATTCTACTGTATATCCTTGAAAATAGCAATTTTCTATAATTTTTCTTGGACCTATTTTCAAATGAGAATGACTCTCAAATGAGAAATTAAAGTATGCATGATACACAGGACAACAGAAACCCACCAAACTTTCACCAAATAAAAAATTTCCCTATGTGTTTTGGACATATTATCAACAGGATTTTGCCCTTGGGAATTTATAAATGGTAAATTTTTTTAAAAAAAGAATGCTTCTAAAATTTCTTATCATGTACTTGTTTGCTTTTGCTTTCAAATACACAAAACATCCAAAAATCATGCATTACCAAGAGGTTAAAATCTAAAATTTTGCAAGTGAAGCACATATTGACATAATCTGATATTTCTCCTTAAAACAAAGACCTTTCCAAGGACTGAAAAAAAATTTAATTCCAGAGAACAAATGCATTTTAAAAGAGCTATATCTAAAAAGAAAACCTTTAATTTGTTGTATTTCTTATTTAAATTAATTTTTAAAGTTCTTAGGAAAAAAATGTAGCAGAATGAAATATTTACACAGTAATATATACTTCAATCACTGGCTACATGTTTTAAAGAAACTGAAAACAGCCAATTAGTCAGCTAGTGTTTTAATGTGAGAGGGAAAATACACGTATTATGAGAGAGAAAAGTCATTTACTCAGCCATGAAGTGAGACTGCCTAGGCCAATGTTCCAAATGTCAGTTAGCTCCTCAGAACTAAAGGAGAGCTACATGCAAAAGGAATTCTATAGTTCAATGAAGTCTGGGCAATGCTTGTTCAAAAAAGTTAAATAAGTAGTGAAGGACTTCCTTGAGCTTTTAATAAGCTAATATCCATTCCAAATCACATCATATGTTATAATAGGAAGAATTTTCCAGAACTACTGAACAAAAATATTTTTCCTTTTTTTTTTTTTTCAGAGGAGGGGAGCATGCCTGGCTACTGGCCAACATACCTGCATACTAGGTCTTGATGCACCTCTTTTTCATACACGTACTCCTTATGTGACTTTGTACCAATATTCAGGTTCCCCCAAGGCAAATATTTCCTGGAGCTTTGATAGAATGGCTCCTTTAGCCACTGTACCTTAGCTAGAAGTTTGCATTTCTCTTTTACATATGCTGTTGTTTCAGTGGACCTTTATTTTCTAATTTGCCACTTTCAGAGAAAGAAGTACCAACCTGAATGCTTCAAGGTACTCAACATCTCCCATGGGGGGATCAAGGCCACCTGTCCAGGCAATATTTATATTGTATCCTTCTCCAAGGCCTGTTCCAACCTGGGAAGAGAAAAACCACACCACAGTGGGTAGACGAGAGCACAGGGAAGAAGCAAGAAGAGAGGAAAACAAACACATGTAAGCTCTTGAAATAAACATCAAACAACATGTCAAATCAGCCCAACATTGCTTGACAACCAGTGCTCTGGGTTATGCACTTGTTCTGCACTGGTTCTTGGTCCCATGGGATAATTCAGTAATCTCGTGTAATTTAAAACACCAGCAAAGGACAAGAAAATTAGGGGTAATCATGCAATGCAATTACCTGAAAGATACAAATAAAAGTGGGGCTCTAAAGAAATAAACCGAACCTCATTTGGGGCTCCACTGCCAGGGAAAAAGTTCCCTTCATCATAGCGATGGAGTGAAATATACAGGATGCTGGGGTCAGCATAAAAGGCCTGCTGTGTACCATTTCCATGGTGAACATCCTACAGGGAAAAGAAAACAGATGACAAATACAGTCACATTTAACTCTGTATGGAGACAACTTTCCTGATTTCTAGTTCCCTGTCTTTTCTACCCCACCCTCCTTCTCATTTTCTGTCTTCTATGTCCCTCTTTCTTTTTGCTGTTCAGCTTGCTTCCACACCACCCCCTTTACTTCCTGAACTTTCAGGCAAATTACCCTTTAATGCACTCATTTTTTAAACTGGCTTCTAAAAATCAGGAAACCACAGCGAACATGCCCTGGAGACTCCAGATGAGCAGTCATTGAGAAAGCCCAGTCCTTTGGTACAATTAGATATTTATACACCGGCCCTTTGTACTCTTTGCTTCAGTGATGGAATCTCGCATCCTGTTTTATGGAGGAATTTTATGACTTATTAACTGCCAACAGTTCATAACCCCTCAGGCTTAATTAACTAGCCTCATTGGCCTCTGAAGAAAGACTAATGTTTAAACTACAAACTAGCATTTTGCAGAAGGATCTATGGCTTACAGAGCATTTTCGCAATTCTTGACAGAACACTAAACATACGTGTACGCATTGATTTGCCAAGTCCCACCATTAAGGTCAAAGGCTTTGCAACCAGCTGAGTAAATTGGCTCTCTTGAAGCGTTCAGTTCAGTTAGCAGTCCCTCAGCAGTTAGAGTGACTTCAAAAGAGATGCCAGATGCAAAAAGGACTTCATATTTTATTTCGGTAAAATCGTAATGGCAAGAGTTGAAGACACAGGAGCATGAGCTCTTTAGCTATTAAATCATTTGGGCCAAAGCAGAAAGATGGCATGGGGCTTTATGTAATCTTGTCCAATCTGCCTAATTTTAATATTATATTATGGCTCTCTTCCCAGCCTCCTTCCTCCTCCTTTTTTGTTCCCCACACCACTCCCTCTTCCCACAAAAAAAAAAAAAAGGCCTGTTTCATTAAAATGAATGAAAAAAATTCTTGATAATTTTGATAATGATTCCAAATTTCATAGTTCGTTTTTCTAATTGTTTTATGACATAAACATGCTGGAATTGATAAAAAGATAATGGGAAAAATAAAACTAATAGCATTTTTAAAAATGTCCTCACTAAAAGACCTGAAGTGTTAAGAATCTCAATTAATATGCTTCCTAAAAGGTTCTTAACAAAATAAAATAAATGACTCTGAAAAGTGAGTAACATATATTTGTATTTAATATAATATTATTGCTACATGTGTAACTTATATATGGTTTCAGGTTCTATTATAAAAAAGCTTTGGTCACTTGTGACTATACACTTATTGTACTTTATTTTATATCAGTAAGAATCAAACTATTTTCAATAATGAGTCCTACAATTTTTGAGTTGGGCACTGTATTAAATATCTTGCTTGGATTATTTAACCATTATATGATGTATATAATATTCTCCCTAATTGAAAAAGGTAAGTAAACTGAGACTTGGAGAGTTTCAGTAATTTTTGCAAGAGTAGGTGTTGAATCCACTTCTTACTCCAAAGACCAAACACATAACCATTATATTGTTAACTTACCCTTACATTCATTATATCTTTGATTCTCTTAGCAAACCTATGAAGTGAGACTGGTGGCCAGTATTGCTACCTATTGAAGTTTATATAACTTGTCTCCACTTCAACCTCCAGCACAGAACTCCCTCACTAGACACCACCAAAATCTCCTTTTGGTGGGTTCCGAAAGCCTATTCTGAGTTTGCTAGTCACAGTGTAGACATACACCAATCCTCCCTCCCTTTAATATACTACATATATCCAAAATCAATTGAGGAATCATAAGATATTGGAGAAGATACCATCTTCCCAGAAACTCATTCTGTCTAAAGGCATACACATCAGGGAGAAAAATAACTTACTGAAAATACATTAATTCCTGGATTTCTGAATGTTCAGATGAAAGGAAGAGAGAGCAAAACTACTTTCCTTTATGAGGACAAAAATGAAACAGTTCAACCCACAATGTCTTTTGAGCTTGCTACTGGATACCCAGAGGATGGACAAACTAAATATTTTGAAAAACAACATCAATGGAATGTTTGCATTTCTACTAAATGACAGAATTTTTAGTCAGCATTGTAAGAAAAATTTTGCTGTGTGCCTAAATGCATTCACAGTTTGAAAACCAGAAAAATACTGCTTTAATGTTGCAAGGGTTTATTTAAGAAGGTAAAAAAAAAAAGATAATTTGCTTTAGGTATAAAAGCATTGTTCTTGAAAAATGTGCTGAGTACAAATTTTTTGCATACATTTCAGAATAAGAAATATAGTCCTACCCACAGTACCATAAGGTTTCAACAGGCGTCATTCATTAAAATTCACAAATTGATTCTAAAATACATGGATAATTCTTGATTCCATATTTATATTCACAAAGTATTTAGAGATAAAGATAAGTCCAAATGTGCCTTTTGTTTTGGGCAACAACTTAGAACCTTGAGAATATTTTTTTCAGCTTTCTCTGAAAATATTCATACAAAGTACTTACTGCTCAAAATGAGGATTTTTTTCCCCACCCCACAGCAACAAATATATACTAGGGCAATATAAGAAAATTATCTATTATATAGTAATGAAATGAACTGAATTATTAATGACCTTAAAATAGATCATATATCTAAGATTTGTTGGAAATGCTGAAAAATCATTTCAACATTTTACTGATTAAAGATATACTGTGAAAATGTATTCTATACCAGGATTTAGAGTCAATGTTTTCATTACAATGTTAAAATAGCTTTGAATAGATTATATGTTCTAGCAGTTAATGTTATCACTTACAATTATTTAGTATTGCCAATTGCGACAATTCTTGGTCAAGTCTGGTGCTTGGCCAAAAATGGAACTGCCTAAAATCTAAAGACCCTTGAAGTGTCTTCTAATGAAAATAGCCTAAAACATTATTTTCCACTGAAAGCCACATTACATTAAAGTTACTGGAGTCCTGCAGACAAATCCCACTTGTAGGACAGGTTCATGCCCTGAACACAACAGCCAATGTCTTGCAGGCTGAAAAGCAGGTGCACCTGCTCCCTTTCCTCACCAATCTGGATGTCTTTGGAATTTTCCACAGAAAGAGAACTGGAATGAATAACCTCCACAGACAGGTCAACTAGAATCATTGCTTCCTAAAAGAGTCAACGCTTCTGAATTTGGCTGTGGTCTCAAATAGGAGGTGAATTAAAGCTCTGGCTCTCTCCTCACTGGGCATAAAAAATGCTGAACCTAGCTGCTGGACAATGGAGTAGCTTCGCCTTCTGTTAACAGGGCCAGGCATTGGCGGATCTAATTCATACCAATTAGCTAAAGTTAGCAACTTTGGATATACAGAAATAAAGTTCTTTTGCCACTGAAGAACCTCTACTTCTCTTCTGCTAACTTGCAGAATAGATCTGTCAGCCAGGGAGAACGGATATATCAGTGCCACGTGGCACTTTAAAACTTCCTTCTAGGCAGCTGGAAGAAACAGGGGAATTTCCTCAAAGTATCCCTGCAGCTGCAGAATTTGGAAGACTTTAAAGTAAGAATATGCGTGCTGGTGGTGATCTCAGAGGCAACCCTTTGGACAGAACTTTGTATGTTTGGAGAATATGAAACAAAAACTTCTCTTCTACTACAGCCTACTGGGAAATCAGTATCCTTTATGTTGGATAATGGAGCAAATTCATAATCAAAGGCCAGTAAGCTTACAGGACACTCCTCGGAGCTACCAAGCAACTTATTTTATAAATCATACCAATTATCTCCAGCAATCTTTTATTCTTATATTAATGTACAAAAACAAAATTTTACACACAAATCCTCTGGGTACAAAATATCCATCACAAGTCGGGCATTTTAGCTTTCAAGTCTATTCAATTAATCACATTAGACTTTGGGTGTCACAAATGTGCTTTTAAAGAGACTCCTAACAGTATCTTCATAATACCATAAAATGGTAGCAGAGGCGATTCCTCAGAAAGTAATACTACAAAATTCTTAAGGACAGGATGACAGTTTACCAATTTCCTTCTTGCATAATTTTGACAAATTCAGAAAGTATAGAAAAATTTTCCCCCAATCCTCGGCCTTCATCTGGTATGCTTTCTTCAGATTTTTAGCCTTATCTTTCTAGCAGAACTTAGAGTTCTAGAAGCAAATCATTTTTTAAAATTTACTATCTTATGAATCAGGCAAAACAATAATTATTAATTATTTAAAATGTCATTTTATATGTTCATGGGAAAATAGGTACTGATGTCCTCGTTTTTGTAAAATTTTAAGACCTTGCCGCTGTAGTATATCTAGGCCTTCAACACATCTCTTTAATGGTGAACTATGACCTACAATGAAACTTAAGCGTGTTTGGAAAATATGTGGAAAGCTGGGTTTCAATACTCTCAGCACCAAAGTACTTGCAGGAAGGCTATGATACAGTATGTGGAAAACAGCCATTCCTACCAAACACTAGAAGTGGCTATCAGTCTTTTTCATTCCTTTTATCTTCATTTTACCTTGACTAAGTACTTCTTCACATGGCTTTGTTTGTGCTCTCTCAACCCTTCGGTGTGTCTGCTTAACTGCATCAGAGGGCTGGACGGTGAGGCCACGACTTCCCAATAAGATTTAATTATGAGTGCAGATATGAACAAGATTTAGACTATTAAGCCTTGCACTTCAAAAAAACTTTTAACATATTTTGCCTTTAAATCTTTTATCACCTGCAAAAATTAATTAAGTACAGATGTAGCAGGTTCGCTTTGGATGCCAGGGTTCATTTCCTGTCTATGCTTTGTCAGACAACCTATTACACCTCCTCGTGAACTGGAGGCAAACTGAAAACGGGGCTCATAAATCACCAGTCAGCTCTCTTTCACCCTTTCCTGGGTTGGTCCTTTTGTATGGGGCAGATCTCCAGCTCATTATTCACGAATATACTATAGACAACATGCCAAGTGTCATCTGCATTTAAACAAACCATTTGTTAAGCAAATTATAAGTCTATTGTGTAAGAATGCATCATGTTAAAACGTAAGACTAATCTAATGCCTCTGACTTTTAATCATTCAGGGTCCTGCCGGGAGTCATCCCAAACTGGCATGCATGATCTGAGATCTTTTCAGAAAGAATGACATGCTGACTTGTTTTAATAATACCACTGTTGCACAACAAGCAACATGATTGCTAACTAGGGGAAGTGGCCAATTGGTTACCAAAGTAACAGCATTCTTTCCAGCACATCTGACTATTTAAAGTCTATATTCTGTAGGGAAAAGTAAATTCAGGTTCTGTTGGGTTATTTTAACTGTGGAAGTATCAATTCATTTAAGGATCATAAAAGTTGCCCTGATCTGCGCCTTCTTCTCATTAAATTGCAGTTAACACCATGAAAGTGAAACGTGAATGTTTATGGTTTCAGAACTGCAATCCTGAATTTAATGAGTTTCCACATTCAAAGGAAACACACCCTTTAGTTGTTTGCAAGTGCTAAAAGCAAGGCAACCTAACAGAAATACAAATTCACTCCCTTTTATCTAGAGTCACTGAAAATGCAGCTCTGGCCAGGAATACATACCAGATCTACAATCAATATCTTGCTTATATTTAGTTGGTCTCTCAAGTATTTGGCGGTAATTGCAACTGAATTAAAAAAGCAGAACCCCCTGCGGAATAGAGAAGAACAGAGAAATAAGAAAGCAAATCAGCCAGGAAAACCATTATAAATAACGTTCAGAGCATTTTTTAAAATGCTATATGATCTCTGAAGCCATAAATCTGCTTCTGGGAGTACCTCGCAAGATTTTTCAGTCCATCTGCTAACAATTAGAGGCTTCAGAGACATGCACGGGGCAGGTGACCGCCAGGAACCGTGGTACTTGGAGATGGGCAACAGTCCCTGGTACTTACATGGCTGTGGATTCTTCAGCGTGATGCCCTGGGGGCCTCACAACAGCAAACCCATTCTGTAAGAACAAGACAGATTTTCGGTGATCAGATATGAGAGGACTGCTTGGACCTCCATGTACTACAGAGCATTAGGCATACACAGAAAGACTGAAATCTGTAAGAGGCTTAGAGCTTGTTTTCTTGCCCCCATTACGATTTCACAGAATAAATAGATCACATTTTCTCAGAGTCTGTCTCAAAAAGAAGGTTCCCACAGAGCCAGGGAAAGAACAGGGATTTGGGAGTTGTACCTAGCTGGCAAACGTGCATATCAGCTGTTACATTAACATGATTCATTTTCAAGAACAACTTCGTATTTTTTGACACCAGTATCTTAGACAGGGAGAACAAATTCACTCTTGGTGAAGGTTTGGGTCAAAGTACAAAAAGACCAGGGAAGATCCAAAGTGAAAATTCTTTAGCTGGATCCCCTCAATGATTATTTCCACTCCAGTGTCAGCAAATGATAAATTCACACTCACACACTCACATACACACAAAAGAAACCCCTGAAAGGTGAAAAAGAGAACAATGGAAAGCCCATATTCCTTCCAGTCTATAAATTTAGCTTGGATGACTGCCAAGACTTGCAACTTTATTGGATTCCCTAAGTCAATTTCTAGCCCACGTTCTGGAATTTTATAAAGAATTCCAGGGCTGAGTAGCAATCAGATCTATCCATGATCAAGGAATGCCTTAACCTCTAGATTAGTTGGAATGCATCACGGAAAGCTGAAGTAACTCCAGCATGAAGGCAGGGAACTATAAATCCTTGCAAAGCCAGCATACTCAAAGAGTTGGGTTGCTTGACATGAGAAAAGAAATCATTTATCAGATGGTTCACACCACCTTTCACTTAACTATGATTCAAGTAACATGCTCACGACAGGATGTTTCTTTAATATATAATCCTAAAACTTCAGAAATAATTTTAGTATACCCCAGGGATATTTTTTCCCCAAATCTTACTATAAGCATAAAGATATTATCAAGGAAAATAATCTATTCCCAAGGGCTTTAAATATACATAAAATATTCTAGAACATTATGGTAATTAACACACAGTGAGTTAATTTGCTATATATTTTGATGAGTACAAACATAATAATAATCTCAGAAGCAAAGTACAAGTCAGTCACGGTGGGGAGGGTATAGCTCAAGTGGTAGAGCACATGCTTAGCATGCATGAGGTCCTGGGTTCAATCCCCAGAACCTCCTCTAAAAATAAATAAATAAACATGATTACCTCTCCTTACCACCAAAAAAAAAAAAAGTTAGGCCAGATTGTTAAGGTCCTTGAATGGCAAACCAACTGGTTCAATAAAAAAATGTACTAAAAAAAAAAAAAAAAGTCAGTCACACAATACCAATTACAAATCTAAAAATGATGATAAACATACTCCTTATCCTTGTTCTTAAGCAACTTACTATCTCTCTGGCAACAAAAGATTAATAAAAAAGAAACTATTAATGAACACCACAAGATAGTAGTGTAACTTTAAGAGTGTAGAATGAGAATCTAGAGTGTTATAGGACTTCTGAGAATGAAGAATTCTGTAAAGATTAGACATGTGCAATGTATTTTACTGGGAAAACAGTAGTTAAGGTGAAGATAACAACAAATATAATACAAGGCAATATAATCAACACGTAACTAACTTTTACAATTTGATTAACAATACTAATGATCTTTTATAATTAAATTTAAAATACTATGTTTTCTATGTAAAGGGCATGATTAGACAATATAAAGAAGAAAACATCCAGTGACCAATAATTATAAGAAAAAATATTCAACTTAATTAGTAATTAAATAAAAGATGAAAATCCCAATGGGAAGACATTTTTCCATTTAGGAAATTAAAAACTTTAAAAATACTCCATGCTGACAATGGAGTGGTGCCTATATACTCATAAATGCTGCTTGCAAGAGGATACTTTATTATAGTCTTTCCAGAAAATAATCTGCCTCTGTACATTTAGAGGCTTTATAAAACATTTACCTTTTGAATTAGTAATCTACGTAAAGGATTCTTGACCAAAAGGTATTACTAACTGTGTAGACAACTATTTATGTAAAAGATAATGTTTTATTTACAATAGGAAAAATGGGAATTATCTAAGTTGACTATTAGGAGAACAGCTAAATGAAAGATGGTACATCTTTACCATAGAACATAAATAGCCATTAAAATTTTGTTATAAATATTTAGTAGAAATAGATTAGACATTTTAGCAATAGTAGGAAAGACTTAGCAATTTTAGAAGTGTTAATGTTAAAAATAATACATACAGCATATCTGAGCGGGTTGTTTTAAATTTATAATTTCATGTATTTTCCAAATAATTCTACAACAAATATCAGTAATTTCAGAGTGAAAAAATATTATAAAACAAGGAGAAAGTTGAGAGGTAAGTTTTAAAGGTCTTACAGGGAGAGTTGTGTTCACAAAGATGAAAAAGGATTTAAATGGTATTCTGGATGGGGGAAAAACATGAACACTGGCTCAGGAAAAAGGATTTTAGAAAGTATTACATACAGAAAATCAATCTGAATTCAGTTCATGTTAAGAAACAAAATGGAAGTGAAACTGCACAGGTAACTAGCTAGGTTACAGAGAACAAAAAGCCAAACAGAATTTAATTCCATCTTCCTCTTTTCTCTTACAGCCAAATTCCTTGAACAAAGGGTCTGCCTTTCCCTTTATAGTTTTCTCCAGTAATATCCACCATTCTATTAAACTGCTTCTGAAGCTGTTTGAATTGGGCTTGAAAATTATCTTCTTGCCAATAACAAGTCTTTTCTTAGTCATAACGATCCACTCAAACTTTCCAGTGTGTTCTCAGAAGCGGTAAACTCTTTTCTGAGGACACCCCTTTCCTTAGTTGAAACCTGCTTCTCCCGCAGCCTGCTCAGGTGGCAGCTGTTCCCCTTCTCACACCTCACAAACCTGCCTGCAAGCAGCTAGAGCTAGTATCTTCCTCTCTCATGGCTGCTGTGAGAGCATGAAGCCTACTGCACCTGCCCAAAACACTCTCATATGAAAAATGGATTAGATCACCCTGAGAGAAAGAAGATAGAACACAGTAAGATGACTGAGGCTGAGTCCTGTGGCAGTCCCATTCCCTTTGCCTCCTGTTACACTAGAAAAGCTGTACTCCTTCCTAGAATCCATCTCACCACCTGCAGTTAGGATATCTCCTCCTACTTTTCCACTATCATTTGTTTTTCTTACTAACATATTAAATTCATATTAAAATTCCCAATTATATACATTTCATCGAGGTTTAAACAGGATCAACTTTCTACTGAACTGAAAATAAAATTATATGTATGTTAACTAAAATAATACAACTATATTCATATACATGCATATACATGTAAATGTTTATCTCCGTCTTAATTCCATTGATCCTTCCAACTGCCACACTTCTTTTCCTTCCCTTTTAACAGCTAAAAATCTTGAAAAGGTGGTCTATCATGCCTTCTCTTTTTTTCTTTTCCTCACCTCTGCCTCAGTCACCTATCTCTAATTTATTCTCCATCTCCATCAGTTCACTAAACAAGCTTTTGCTAAGGTTATCAATGGCCTCACATCACTAAATCCAATGAGATTTTTAAGCTCTCAACCTACTTGGCCCCTCATTAGCTTTCAGCATTACTGGCTACATCTTCCTTTTTAAAACACTCTCTTCCCTTGGCTTCTGTGATTTCATACTCTCCTGGTTTCCTTATTTTACTTTCCACTTCCTAATCATCTTCCTTAAGGCTCATCACCCTCAGTCTGCTCATTAAACATTGAGGTTATTCCAGGCCCAGTCTTAGACTTCTCTCTGCTTTCCATACTCACTTCTTACGCAACGCCACAACTCTCATGGAATTCAATTATCACCCATCATAACATACTTGGCAGATTTCTATTTCCAGAATGAAAAATGCTCTGAACACCAGACCAAAATACCAGCCCACTTACCTGATATTTTTACTTGGGTATCCCAAGGTTACTTCAAATTCAACATACCCAAGATCAAACTCCTAAGCTTCTCCCAGCCTTCTCTAACTTACCAATGATACCGTGATTCATCCAGTGGCTCAAGTAAGGGACTGATGAATTATCTTTAATGGCTCCCTCTCCTTATCATTCCTCCATCTCATTTTATTATTTAATTCATGACAAATTCCTGTTGATTTTGCTTTTAAATAGCACTCAAGTCTATGTGCTATCCATTTCTTGAATATTTTGCCTTTTGAATTTCTGTCTTTCTCTCCATCCATCACTCATCTGGTAATTTCTTAGCAATTTCAATAACCAAACAGACAAACCATTCAGTAGCCTGATTTCTCAGTTCTCTGACTCCTTGCCTTCAATAAATCTGTTTTCTGTTTACAGCCATACTCCTAAACCCTGCCATTACAAATAACTAAGGGAATCTCAATGTCAAATATCCTACTTTCTTATCCTCCTATTTTCCAGATGATGCTTCAACTGCACTGGTATGTCCAATCCTTTGACCTTAATTTTTGCTGTCCATCATTCATCCTTACCACCATGTTTACTTCTCTCCTAATCTGGGTTAGACTTCAGAGTCCATCATTATATTCACTTCCTTGCATATACTTTCAGACAATTTGTTCTTTATTTTATTCTTTATAAAAGCATAACTGCATGCAGAGTACAGAAAATGTATGCGATATTTATAAACTGACAGGAAATGAGAAAATTGTGTTTGTTTGAAGTAGTTGATCAAACATTATATTTTTATTTAATATTTTAAATGTAACTCTATTTGGGGAAGCTATAAGAACAAAATCAAAGAAATCTGTCCTGCTGAGAAAAATGTTTTATGTATAACATAACTGGTTACTACCCAAAGACTAATTGAGCATGTCAGACCAGTTGATTGGGATTCTATTTTTAAAATTTCTCTTTTAGTGCATTATTAACTTAGAGCTCAGTAATTACCTCCCAATGTCTCCTAAGTATTACCACTAAAGTATTTCTAAATGTACTAAAGT